ATAAGGGAAATCCTGAAAAAATACACAGAGTTTTAAACATTTGTAGAGAAGGCCCACCAGACAGAGAAAAAGCCAATCACTTATTTGCTTGTTAATGACAAGGTCATTTCATATTCCAGACCAAAAAGAAAAGAAAGACACAGGCCAGTTTTTAGCTCTGAAAAGGCTGAGACCTAATGAGCCAGAAACAAGGCCTAGTGGGCTGCAGACTCTCCCAAGAGAGAAAAGACACCCAAGAGCAGATTCCTGATGCTGTGGAGGAACTCTGCTTTCAAACAATGCCCACCTCCCACTTCATCCTCCCTTTCCCGAGCCAAAGGTGTCAACTTGAAGGTGAGTGAAAGGGTTGTGGCCCAGACACGACTCTGTAGCCAGGAAAGCCTCAACCTAAAGCAGGAGCCCCTCTCTCCCCCACCTCTAGGAATTTACCTGTGATGCCATCTTCCCGACCCTGGAAATTTACCTATGGCGCCAAACCTAGGACCAATGGGCTACCTGTGCATCCCTAATGCCCCCCTTAGGTTCCACCACACACCGAGGCTGCTTATGTGCCTCACTGCACGTGTTCTGCAGGAGAGATGGCCAGGGAGGTGCCGGTCATCTCTCTCCATATCCTCAGAAAAAAGGCTGCTTTTTTGTTTTATACTTCTCATCTTTTGGAAATATTTTTCAGTGAGTACAGTATGAAACTGTTGTTTCTGGTAAACTAGGCACATTTTATATCTTCCCGGTGGATACACTGGGAAAACAGTTGGTGTTTCTGGTACATTACGCACATTATACAACCATTTTTATTATGAAACGGTTGTTAAGGGGTGCTTTGGGAGGTTCAGAATGCATTATGGGTATTTCCATTCTTTCTCATGGGAAAAATAATCTTGACTTACAAACAGTTTGAGTTACAACCAGCCCTCAGAATGAGCGAGTTTATAAGTCAATGGTCCACTGCTTGTGGAAACAGGATCCTTTCCATTTATCCTGGTAATAAAACACTGTGGTGATCAGTTTTTTAAGGCAGTAGAGGTAGAAGCTTATTGTTTCAGCATTAAAAAAATGCTTGGAAAGTTCCAAGTACAAACCTGGGTCTGTTATCTGCTGACTAAACTATGGCAGCTCTATTCCCACAGGCTTACCAAGGGGGTGACATTCGGAGCCCTCCCTTTGTTCCACCCAGGCCCCAAGGCACGTGTTTCTAGATTACCTGAGTTTCTCTCAGCAGAACTGATAGGATTATTTCCAAACAATGAGAAGTATAAAACAAAAGAGGCCTTTATTCTAAGAACAGGGAGAGAGAGAACCAGCACCCCACTGCTGGAGTCTGGCTTTCTGTCTGGCGGACGCGAGGTGTCGGGGGTGTGTAAGTAGCCTCGGTTTGGGGTGGAACCTAAGGCGGCATCAGGGATGCACGGGTAGCCCATTGGTGGTAGGTTTGGCAGCACAGGTAAGTTCCCAGGGGCGGGAAAGAGGACATCACAGGTAAATTCCTAGGGGTGGGGGAGACAGGAGCTTCCTGGTTCCCCTTGAGGCTTTTCTAGCTACAGAGTCCTGTCTGGGCCAAAACCCATTCATATGCCATCTTATGATTATTATTATGAAAAGGAGGGAAGATTTTTTAAAACTATTTCCTGCTGGCAGGTGGCGCTGTACTGGAGTCTAGGGGAGTCCATGGGGTGGTGGTGGATGCCCAGGTAGATTCTGGTGCCAGGTGGTTTAGCCAGGACAAATCACTGGTGAATGCACGGATGTTAGACTGGAAAAACAAAGAGACATGATGTTATGAGGAGACATGGCACTGTCATATTTAAGGAGCCAGGTGAGGTAGAGGGAAACGTGCTTTTGATTTAGACATGTCATTATATCAGCATGACATTGAGGTAGGATCATTGTCACAGTGAGGTAGAATTCTGAAAATTAAGTGTGAGGTTAGGAGGAGTGATGTTATGAGAGGTGATTACTCCCCCATCTGAAAGCATAAACTTAAGAGGGTAGGTGTGTAAAACCTGTCGCCTGTCCAAGGAATGAACTGGAAAAAATAGGAGGAGTAGGGAAGGGGGTGGCTGTACCAGTATAGGGAAGGGAAGAGTTTAGGCTTTCAGGGATGTCACGCTTAACCAGACAGCTGAGGGTAGACAGAACTACCACAGTCATTGCATAGAGCATCATGAAGATGATCTTATGCATGATGTGGGAGTCTTTGGGAAAGACTGTCAAGAGTCCTGCTGTAGAAATGATCATGAATAGAACGTAAGAAATTAGGAACCAAAGTGGATAACAAAACATGACTTAGCCTGTTAACTGTGGCTGCGAGGCCTTCGTGAAACAGAGACAGGTGAGCGACAGAAGATGAGATGACCACTCAGAATGATCAGATTTAGGGCTGGGAGGGCACCTCTTAGCCTGAGTGATGTGAAACCAGGATGGGAGTCCAGCAACTTTGACCACTGTAGGGGTAGCCAAGTAGACCAGATGGGGGCCACTCCACCTTGGTGGTAGTCCTGTGGATTTAGAACATTTGAGATAAATTAGATCTCCTGGGGATAGGGGAGGATCTGGCTTGGCTTCTCCAGAGGGTTGTGGAAGGCAGAGATCAGCATGTTGTCACAACAGGTGTCAGAGGAAGGAGAGGACTGGGACATAGTCAGCCAGGGGAGGGAGATTTTGGGGAGTAGGAAGATTGTGGAGTAAGAATGGCCTGCCGTACCTAAGTTCAAAAGGACTTAGGAAAGTAGGAGCCCGGGGGAGTGCCCTGAGCTTGGCTAAGGCTAAGGGCAAAAGTTGAGGCCAAGGTTGATGTAGTTCTAAAGTGAGTTTTGTAAGGTGTGTCTTATGAGGCCACTTGCCTTTTCTACTTTTCCTGAGGATTGTGGGTGGTATGGGATGTGTAGGTGCCAGGTGGTGTGTAAGCTTGAGAATACCTGTGAAGTGATCTGAGAAATAAGGCCGGACCATTATCTGATTGAATACTCTGAGGTAGACCAAACCTTGGAATGATTTCTTGTAATATGATTTTGGTAACTACATCAGCAGTTTCCCTGGTTGTGGGAAAGGCTTCTATCCATCCTGAAAAGGTACAAACAAAGGTGAGAAGATAATTGAGAGTGCTGTGGCGGGGCATGTGTGTAAAACCTATCTGCCAGTCCTGACCATGGGTGTGTCCTTGAAACTGATGGGTAGGAAAGGAAGGGGGTGCCATACATTCCTGAGGAGAGGTCCTGGCACAGAGGTCACATTTGTGAGTAATCTTAAGAATGATAGCTTTTAGAGGAAGGTGTGTGACTATTGGGGCTAAGAGTTTGTGTAGGGCCTGTGATCCTATATGTATGCTAGCAGCTAGACAATGGCAATGCTCTTTTTTCTTTCTTTCTTTCTTTCTTTCTTTCTTTCTTTCTTGGTACTGGGAATTGAACTCAGAACCTTGCGCTTGCAGACAGATAACTGTGCCACTGAGGTATACCCCCGGGCCCAGACAATGTTCTAGAAGCTGACTATATAACAGTAAGGGACAACTAAGTCCCTGTTCTCATTGAACTTACAGCCAAATAAGCATGGAAGAATCAAAATTCCTGACAAGGGAAAGATTGTCTGGTGCTAAGTGTAAGGAAGAAAAGGTGGATGAAGGTGCAGTTGGGGGACGCTACTGTGGACACATTGGACAGGGACTGTGTCTCTCCTAGGTGCATTTGAGGAGGGACCTGCAGCGAGTGATGCAGTGAGTGCGGGAGCAGGTCTTGTGGCCCAAAGCAGTGGTCTTGGAAGACAGAGTTGGGAGCGGATCTGTGGGCCAGGCAGGGGCCCGTCAGCCTGGAGCAGCAGGCTCCAGGGAGGAGTGGCAGCTGGGGGAACCCGAGAGTTGTTTAGGCCAAGATCAAGTAGAAGGGAAGCTGCTGGAATTTTTGAGCAGAGGAGTGTGTCGTGTAATGCAGGTTTTAAAAAAAATTGCTCTGGCTGCTGAAGGTTGAACAGTTTACAGCTGGGTGCCAGCAACAGCAGGAAACAGGAGCCTGCTGCAGGAGGCCGGGTAGGCCAGACGGGGGCTGAATTAGGCAATGGTGGGGCATTGCTCAGGTAGTGCATAGGTGAGCCAACAGAATTTCTTGATGAATTGCGGTGTGTGAGAACGAAAAGAGAACTAGAGATGATTTCAACCTCTTTTCTGAGCAAGTAGGAGAATAGGCTCTTATTTGCTTAGAAGAAAGGGAGCAGATTTTGGAAGGGCAAGAGAAATGGATTTGGAGATGGTAGTTTTTGATTTGTTTGAGTTAGAATTTCACTATGGAGCCCAGGTTGGCCTGAAACAGGTGAGCCTCCTGCCTCAGCCTGTCAAGTGCTGAGATTAAAGGCACGTGCTACCACATCTGGCTCACGACTCACTTGAGATCTGATTAGACATCCAAGTGGAGGTGCCAAAGTGGTAACTGGTTATAAGAACCTGCAGTTCAGGAAAACAGGAGACGTTTATCAGTGGGGGCTCGGGTGGAACCCAGAGACACCATTCATTTTTAAGTTTCATCTTGCTCTGCGGAGATGATCTTCAGGAGTCCTGGGAGCTGTGGAACATCAGGACGTGCTTTGAGTCAGGGATCACCAGAACTATGGAATATGTCTACTCTGTCCCTAGGTCCAGCCAGAGACTCATCCTTAAGAAACCCTTGTGAAGGGCCTCCTGCAAGCCCTGCCAGACAGCGAGCGTTGGATACACATACAGTGAAGAACAAGCCACAGTGGCTGTCTTCACAAAATGTCTCCTAGCAGATAAGGCCAAGAGAATGGAGATGTTAGTACAATGATTCAGGGGTAAGATGTGGATGCTGTTGGACACAAAGGAGGGGCATGGCTACTTTTTGTGGGGCCAGAAAGAGCTTCCCTGAGAACATGCTACGGGTGACTAAGGGAGCTGGGTAAAGGGGTGAAAGGGTGCATGGGGCGTTTCTAGGGGAGGCAGCAGCACGGGAGCGCAGGGAGTCTGCACCGGGGAAGGACAGAGGGAGGGGCAGTCTCAGACTCAGCACCCTACTAGTGAGCTAGGGATGTGTCCACATAATATGAGGCAGGGCCCTGTCTGTTTTGCTTAACCTCCACTAGTGGCAGATACTCCCCAGAGAGCCAGTTCCCTTGATGGAGATGAGGAAAAAGCCGCCAAGACCTTAATGGTGAGTGTGGGGTAGGATGTGGGAAAAAGCAGGGTGGGGGTGGCTCTGAACGGGATGCACCTGGGGTAGAGCAAATGGTAGTTGTGGGGGAGGGATGTATCAGGCACAGGAGTGGAAGCCAGAAGTGAGGCTCTGAAGGGTGTAAGGCGTGTACTGAGCAGTGTGAGTTCAGGAAGGGCCCGGATTCCACGTCACGGAGCTGATTGCTGGCCGAGTGTGCTTGTGTGGCAGGATGTGTGTGATGCGATGTTCTCCCTGACTCGGTGTGGATGTGTAGAGCTCTGGAAGGCACACCATGCAAGTACCTACCTGCAGGAAAGGGATTTGCATCCAGCCTATGCTGTGAGCATATGCCTTGCGTGGCTGGGGTTGCCCAGACTGCATCTCAGAGTGAACAAGCTACTGGTTCTGCTGGGGACGGGAGAGGCTCTGGGCTTATTCGGCACAGGGCAGGCACGCATGTAAACATTTTGGTTTTATTAATCATTTTAGGAAACCCATAGCTTTGGTTAAAAGTTTGCACTAGACGTTTTAAGAAAAATAAATTCACAGTCAGACACCAATATCTGTTTAGAAAATCAAGGGGTTTATATCCTGTGATGGAGCTGAGCCGGAGCCCTACTTCAAAGTCTAAAACTTTAAACATTTCCTGAACATCTCAGCCCACAGGCAAGACCTGGGCTTTGCTGTAGGGACTCGGTTCCCTTCCCTCTGAGCCACCTTAACCTGGGTGCTGCAGTTAAAGCTCAGTTCTGTGTTATTTCTATTGTTCCTTAATTGTTGCAAGGGCAGTAATTCCCCTCCTGGGTGGGTGTGTGACCCTCAGGACAGGGGCTATGCAGCAGTGTTTGAGAACAAATGGAAACATGGACATGAAATTGAATAGATTGGATTTGTTCCTTTCATAATAAAATCTAGAATCCCAACCTGCCATTTCTGGGAAGGAGGAGCTTTGTGTATTAATGGAACTGGTGCAGTCCCACACCTCGTTCCTCTTAATGAAAAACAGAGCTCTTTCCTTTAGGAGGACAGTTGAAAGGTAGCAGGAGGTTTTCAGGAATGACTCCAGAGCAGTGTCTTCCTTGGGCAGGACAAGTCAGAGGGGGGCGCTATTGACATTTTAGACAGGGCCACTCTTTGGCCTTGGGGGCTGCCTTGTTCCCTAAGGAAGTTTAGTAGCATCCTAGGCTCTGTCACCCTAAATCCAGTAGGCGGCACTTCCTCCCAGTTGTGACAATCAAAAATGTCCCCAAACATTGCTAAATGTGCCCTGAGAGCAAAATCAGCCCCAGTTGAAAACCTGCATCCTCTAGGAATTTTGGTTTGTGTAATTTTCTTATTTGGCACATTGTGGGCAACAGGGGAAGCACTGTTGGTGCTGATTTGCGAGCCACCATCTCTGCAGGATTTTATTTCATCTTCCAGGTAAAGAGGCTGATGTCACAACTTCAAGGCCCTGCTGAAGGTCACGCAGCCAGGTTAGCAGTTCAAGCAGGTTTGCCTTTGCTGAAGAAGCAGCAGGCCTGAAATTGTCCTGTGGTTTCATAAATCAGGTCGGAAAGTATTTTTAAACTTTTTTTGGGTGGGGAGGTATGATTCCTCTTGTATGCATTAAATTCACAATATAAATATATACAGTGTGCCCTCAAAATAGACACCCTGGTCCCTGTACTACACTTGAGGCTCTGGTCTTATCTAGAACAAACACAGAGCAACACAATGGAATGGCTTCAATTCTACTTGTTACAAATTATACAAAAGCCAGGGCCTGATGGTACCAAAAGCAGCCAGTATTGTTTACATGAGGGTTGAATGCTAACAGTTAACTTTCTCCCATTGAATTCCAGAATCGGTAAAAAACACCTTGCCTTACAACTACAAACCAGGGAGTTGTCCTAAAGTGAGCAGGAGAACACTCAGAAGCAAATGGAAAGGTTGGTTTTCCTCCCTTGCGCTGTGCCATCCCGCGCTGATACCAGGGCCTCTAGTCCCTGTGGCCCGCTCCAAGCTCTGCACACACACCCCCCCCTCCGCGGCCCGCAGTTTTCTGGCTTCCTCTCTAGCCCTGGGGCAAGCTGGGCCTCTCTCGGAGAAGCCTGTCCCAGAGCCAGGCCTGGAAAGACAACAGCGAGAAACTGTGGCAGGGTTTGCAGCAGCTCAGTACAAAAAAAAAAAAAAAAAAAAGTTTGGTTCGGGGCTGCAGCTGGCAGTTCGGATTTGGGGGCGGAGTCGAGGGGGGGTCACCACTAGGTCAGGTTCAAGTGTGCATGTGCACAGAGGGGCCTGGGCACTTATTGAGCGCCAACTGTCTACGTGGGGTGTGCTTCTCCTGTGCGAGGAGGTGGGGTGCGGGGTCGGGGTGGGCATGTGCCTGGGGCGGTGGAGGAAGGGAAGAGGTGGGGGAAAGAGACGGAGGAGGAGTGAGGGAGGGAGGGAGAAAGCCAGGAACGGGGCGTGTCCCTGATAGGGGCTGGCCGGCAAGCAGGCCCGGGATTCAGGCCAGGTTGTGGCCGTGGCTGTGTATGGGGAGCACTGTGTTCTGGGTAGGCAGCAGCCTATGTGAGCGCTGTGTTCTGGGTAGAGAGGGAGCACCAGGCCTTCAGGGCATCTTTAGTGGGGACAGGGAAGCAGGTGCAGCCCAGCAGCATCCAGCCCACGTGGGCCCTGGGCACTCCTGCCGTACTGAGGAGGTGACAGGCATCTGCTTGGTACTTGCCCTCCCTGTCTCTGGTGCAGCAGTGCACTTATCCCAGCAGAGAGAGGCCAGTGCTTACACTCTTTTGTTGCTGCTGAACATATTTGTACCTCACTGAAGTTTTTCAAAAAATAGTTACTGGTTGTGAGGTCTGCAATCCTAGCTGCTCAGGCAGCTAAAGCACTCAAGGATCACTTGAGCCCAGGGGTTTGAGACTGGCCTAGGAAAGAGAGTGAAACCTGATGCTAAAATGTAAAAAAACAAAACAAGTCATTCCACTATCCAGAAATAACTGTGCAATACAAGTACATTACTTTAATCTGTAGTTGGGGGCAAATCAGGAAACATCAAGGCTGCAGTTAACTGGAGAGAACTTTTATCAGTCCTAGAAATAAGCGCAGACCCATAGGAGAAAAAGGCGCCCAATAGGCGGCAATGGGTAGTCCTGGGGCCCAGCAGGCGGGGGTGGGTATTCCGGGGCCCAGCAGGCGGTGGTGGGTAGTCTGGGGTCCGGCAGGTGGAGGTGGGTAGTCCTGGGGCCTGGTACATGGTGGTGGGTAGTCTGGGGCCCAGCAGGTGGTGGTGGGTAGTCCTGGGGCCCGGTACATGGTGGTGGGTAGTCTCGGGCCCGGCAGGTGGTGGTGGGTAGTCCTGGGGCCCGGCAGGCATCGGTGGCTAGTCCTGGGGCCTGGCAGGTGATGGTGGGTAGTCCTGGGGCCCGGCAGATGGTGGGGGAGTCCTGGGGCCCGGCAGGTGGCTGTGGTTAGTCTTCGGCCACGGCAGGTGGCGGTGTGTTATCCTGGGGCCCAGTAGGTGGCAGTGGCTAGTCCTGGGCAGTCGTGGGTTGTCCTGGGGTCCGGCAGGTGGTGGTGTGTTGTCCTGGGGACCGGCACTTGGCGGTGGGTAGTCCTGGGGACCGGCACTTGGCGGTGGGTAGTCCTGGGGACCAGCACTTGGCGGTGGGTAGTCCTGGGGCCCAACATGGGGCAATGGATAGTTCTGGAGCCCAGCAGAGGACGGTGGGTTGTCCTGGGGCCTGACAGGTGGCCGTGGATATTCCTGGGGCCCGGCAGGCGGCGGTGGGTACTCTTGGTCCCTGCAGGGGGTAATGGGTAGTCCTGGGGTCCGGAACTTGGTGGTGGGTGGCCAGGTGCCCGGCAGGCGGCAGTGGGTAGTCTTGGGGCCCATCACATGGTGGTGGGTAGTCTGGGGCCGGCAGTCGGCGGTGAGTTGTCCTGGGGCCTGGCAGTTGGCGGTGGGTAGTGCTGGGGTCCAGCATGCGACAGTGGGTAGGCCTGGAGCCCGGCAGAAGGCGGTGGGTAATCCTGGGGCCCGGCAGGAGGAGATGGGTAGTCCTGGGGCCCGGCAGGTGGTGGTGGGTATTCCTGGGGCCCGGCAGGAGGAGATGGGTATTCCTGGGGCCCGGCAGGAGGAGATGGGTAGTCCTGGAGCCCGGCAGGAGGAGATGGGTAGTCCTGGGGCCCGGCAGGTGGTGGTGGGTATTCCTGGGGCCCGGCAGGAGGAGATGGGTAGTCCTGGGGCCCGGCAGGAGGAGATGGGTAGTCCTGGGGCCCGGCAGGTGGCGGTGGGTATTCCTGGGGCCCGGCAGGAGGAGATGGGTAATCCTGGGGCCCGGCAGGTGGCGGTGGGTATTCCTGGGGCCCGGCAGGAGGAGATGGGTAGTCCTGGAGCCCGGCAGGTGGCGGTGGGTATTCCTGGGGCCCGGCAGGAGGAGATGGGTAGTCCTGGAGCCCGGCAGGAGGAGATGGGTAGTCCTGGGGCCCGGCAGGTGGTGGTGGGTATTCCTGGGGCCCGGCAGGAGGAGATGGGTAGTCCTGGGGCCCGGCAGGAGGAGATGGGTAGTCCTGGGGCCCGGCAGGTGGTGGTGGGTATTCCTGGGGCCCGGCAGGAGGAGATGGGTAGTCCTGGGGCCCGGCAGGTGGCGGTGGGTATTCCTGGGGCCCGGCAGGAGGAGATGGGTATTCCTGGGGCCCGGCAGGAGGAGATGGGTAGTCCTGGGGCCAGGCAGGTGGTGGTGGGTAGTCTTCGGCCCCGGCAGGTGGCGGTGGGTTGTCTTGGGCCCGGCAGATGGTCGTGGGTAGTCCTTGGGCCCGGCAGGTGGTCGTGGGTAGTCCTTGGGCCCGGCAGGTGGTCGTGGGTTGTCCTGGGGCCCGGCAGTTGGCGATGGGTAGTTTTGCGTTCTGTTAAGGTTAAGAATGCTATGGCTAGGAGGATTGGGATAATTAGTAGTAATAGGTTGATTGGCGGTGGTGGGTTGTCCTGGGGCCCGGCACATGGTGGTTGGTAGTCTTGGGGCCTGGCAGCCGGTGGTGGGTAGCGCTGGCGCCCGGCACGTGGTGGTGGGTAGGCCTGGCGCCCGGCAGGTGGCGGTGGGAAGTCCTGGGGCCCGGCAGGCGCCGGTGGGTAGTCCTGGGGCCCGGCAGGCGTCAGTGGGTTGTCCTGGGGCCCAGCAGGTGGCAGTGGGCAGTCCTGGGGCCCGGCAGTTGGCGATGGGTAGTTTTGCGTTCTGTTAAGGTTAAGAATGCTATGGCTAGGAGGATTGGGATAATTAGTAGTAATAGTTTGATTGGCGGTGGTGGGTAGGCCTGGTGCCCGGCACATGGTGGTTGGTAGTCTTGGGGCCTGGCAGCCGGTGGTGGGTAGCGCTGGCGCCCGGCACGTGGTGGTGGGTAGGCCTGGCGCCCGGCAGGCGGCGGTGGGTAGTCCTGGGGTCCAGCAGGCGGTGGTGGGTAGTCCTGGGGCCCGGCACGTGGTGGTTGGTAGTCTTGGGGCCTGGCAGCTGGTGGTGGGTAGCGCTGGCGCCCGGCACGTGGTGGTGGGTAGGCCTGGTGCCTGGCAGGCGGCAGTGGGTAGTCCTGGGGCCTGGCAGGCGATGGTGCGTAGTGCTGGCGCCCGGCACGTGGTGGTGGGTAGGCCTGGCGCCCGGCAGGTGGTGGTGGGTTGTCCTGGGGCCCGGCAGGTGGTGGTGGGTAGTGCTGGGGCCTGGCAGGCGATGGTGGGTAGTGCTGGCGCCCGGCACGTGGTGGTGGGTAGGCCTGGTGCCCGGCAGGTGGCGGTGGGAAGTCCTGGGGCCCGGCAGGTGGTGGTGGGTTGTCCTGGGGCCCGGCAGGCGGTGGTGGGTAGTGCTGGGGCCTGGCAGGCGATGGTGGGTAGTGCTGGCGCCCGGCACGTGGTGGTGGGTAGGCCTGGTGCCCGGCAGGTGGTGGTGGGTTGTCCTGGGGCCCGGCAGGCGACGGTGGGTAGGCCTGGCGCCCGGCAGGCGGCGGTGGGAAGTCCTGGGGCCCGGCAGGTGGTGGTGGGTTGTCCTGGGGCCCGGCAGGTGGTGGTGGGTTGTCCTGGGGCCCGGCAGGTGGTGGTGGGTAGTCCTGCGGCCTGGCAGGCGATGGTGGGTAGTGCTGGCGCCCGGCACGTGGTGGTGGGTAGGCCTGGTGCCCGGCAGGTGGCGGTGGGAAGTCCTGGGGCCCGGCAGGCGGCGGTGGGTAGTCCTGGGGCCTGGCAGGCGATGGTGCCTAGTGCTGGCACCTGGCACGTGGTGGTGGGTAGGCCTGGTGCCCGGCAGAAGGCGATGGGTAATCCTGGGGCCCGGCAGGTGGCGGTGGGTATTCCTGGGGCCCGGCAGGAGGAGATGGGTAGTCCTGGGGCCCGGCAGGTGGCGGTGGGTTGTCTTGGGCCCGGCAGATGGTCGTGGGTAGTCCTTGGGCCCGGCAGGTGGTCGTGGGTTGTCCTGGGGCCCAGCAGGTGGCGGTGGGCAGTCCTGGGGCCCGGCAGTTGGCGATGGGTAGTTTTGCGTTCTGTTAAGGTTAAGAATGCTATGGCTAGGAGGATTGGGATAATTAGTAGTAATAGGTTGATTGGCGGTGGTGGGTAGGCCTGGCGCCCGGCACGTGGTGGTTGGTAGTGTTGGGGCCTGGCAGCCGGTGGTGGGTAGCGCTGGCGCCCAGCACGTGGTGGTGGGTAGGCCTGGTGCCTGGCAGGCGGCAGTGGGTAGTCCTGGGGCCTGGCAGGCGATGGTGCGTAGTGCTGGCGTCCGGCACGTGGTGGTGGGTAGGCCTGGCGCCCGGCAGGTGGCAGTGGGTTGTCCTGGGGCCCGGCAGGCAGTGGTGGGTAGTCCTGGGGCCTGGCAGGCGATGGTGGGTAGTGCTGGCGCCCGGCACGTGGTGGTGGGTAGGCCTGGTGCCCAGCAGGTGGCGGTGGGAAGTCCTGGGGCCCGGCAGGCGGTGGTGGGTAGTCCTGGGGCCTGGCAGGCGATGGTGCGTAGTGCTGGCGCCCGGCACGTGGTGGTGGGTAGGCCTGGCGCCCGGCAGGCGGCGGTGGGAAGTCCTGGGGCCCGGCAGGCGGTGGTGGATAGTCCTGGGGCCTGGCAGGCGATGGTGCGTAGTGCTGGCGCCCGGCACGTGGTGGTGGGTAGGCCTGGTGCCCAGCAGGTGGCGGTGGGAAGTCCTGGGGCCCGGCAGGCGGCGGTGGGTAGTCCTGGGGCCTGGCAGGCGATGGTGCGTAGTGCTGGCACCTGGCACGTGGTGGTGGGTAGGCCTGGTGCCCGTCAGGTGGCGGTGGGAAGTCCTGGGGCCCGGCAGGCGGTGGTGGGAAGTCCTGGGGCCCAGCAGGCAGTGGTGGGTAGTCCTGGAGCCCGGCAGGCGTCAGTGGGTTGTCCTGGGGCCCAGCAGGTGGCGGTGGGTATTCCTCGGGCCCGGCAGGCGGTGGTCGGTAGTCCTGGAGTCCAGTGGGTGGTGGTGGCATTCGTGGATCTGAAATGAAATACGCTCGGGCGCCGAGCGGGCCTGGAGGCCTGAATGGCACAGGTCCCGGCAAGAACTCGCCAGGATGTAGCGGCAGGTCGTGGCGACCGGGCAGCATGCCGGGCGCATAGTCTCTTAAGCCCAGTGGTGGGCCCATGCGTGTGACTGGAAAGCAAGAGGGACATGCGTACACGTCCTGAGGAGCAGCCCAGCTCTGCTGCAAGGGTTTCCCTTCCCCTGCACCAGGAAGTCGAGTGATGCACTGGACTTCACAGATAAGGAAAACTGAGGCTCAGTAAGGCTCAACCACAGCCTGACCCTCCCTTCTCCCACTGCCGGTGGCCTGTGGCATCCCAGGTGACCACCCCGCTGAGACTGGCACTTCGGCTTTTCCGAAAGGGCCCTTCTGGTCCAAGCAGCTGTGGAGGCTGCACTGGGCTCAGAGTGCTGGGCCTCATGCTTAGAGTCTGGCAGGCTGCAGCTGCCGATCAGGACAGGAGAGGAGAGAGGACAGGGTAGGCGAGAGGACAGGGTAGGCGGTGGTGCCAGCCCAAGTGTCCTACCGTACCGAATGGTGGCGGTGGCCTAGGAGGCATCGGCCGAGGCCCGAAGGGCCTGCAGAGCAGTGGTGGCGGTGGCGACCCATAGCCCATGTGGGGCGGCATGGGGCCTCCCAGGAACGGGGGCCCTGGATGGGCTGGGGGCCCCTTCACGGCCATGCTCACCTGCGAACAGAAGCAGGCCCAGTTTCCAGCTCGGCAGTGACACTGGGTGCCCGTCCCGAGAGGAGTCAAGGGATCCCCGGACCCTGCCGGGCCCTCGTGAGCAGCACGCCACACAGCGAGCATGGTCACCACGCTGTCCCCACTCGGGTGTGGAGATGAGCTCCAGAGGTGCCAGCGGGGCGCTGCGCCAGCTCGCTGCACTCTTGCCAGCATGAGCGAGTCCCTGGGCACGACAGGCAGACACAAGGGCTCCCAGGGACCCGGGGTCGCTGGGGAGAACCGGAAGCTGCCTCGGCCAGTTGACACTGCACAGGGAGGGGCTGGCGGAGGCGCCTGTGCCTGGGCTGCTTGGAAGGCAGTCCATGGAGCTCTGACCATTGCAGGCGGCCCCATGCGGTGCGAAGGCTGCCAAGGCAGCAGCCTCAGGACCCAGGAGGCACAGCAGCCTGGGCCACCCGGGGTCGGATTCAGGGGGCCCTGGAACCGGCTTCCCACTCCCGGAAGAGCCCACGCCCACCTCATCCCCATCACTGCAAGGGGTCTGCCTAGCACAGACCATGAGGACCGCAACAGCTGCTCCCAAAAATCAAGGGCACGCGAGTGTGGCGATGCACACCAGTCATCCCGAACTCGGGAGGCTGAGGCGGGAGGACTGCTAGGGAACTGCAGGTCGGCTCTGGGTACTGTGAGGTCAAGTTCAGCTTGAGCTGCATAAGGAAACCCTGACTCAAAATAAGTACCAAACCAAACACTCAAGTCAGGGGCATGAGGTGTGCTGTGCTCCAGCACTCAGCACGTGGCCCCAGCCTTAGTGAAGGCCCCAGTCAGATGGTGACCTAGTCAGCAGGGTCGCCACGCCCAGGCCAGCTGGAGAACAGAGGGGAAACGGAGGGCCCATGGAGCAGCGTGGGCCAAGGCACGGGCTCCAGGCTCACCTTGGCGTTGTCCATGACCTTCACTGGAGAGGAGCCGCGGGAGCTGCTGTTGGCCACGGGGCCAGGGCCGGGATCTGGGGGCAGACAAGGCATTCAGAGGACTTTCCCAGGACGAGGACGAGGACGGGGACGAGGGCAGGGACGAGGTCGGGGACGAGGACGAGGATGAGGACGAGGACCGGAAGAGGCCACAGGCACGCCCTCGGAAGTGCCCTCGAGAACACTCCAGAGCCCCAAGGACAGTCCCTGGAGGGAGCAGAGGCATGGCTGCCTCTGAGAGGCAGCTGCAAGGCCCCTGGGAGGCAGGAGGCCAGGGAGCCCTCGAGTGGAGCCAGAGGTACCAGGCTCACTGAGCAGGCGTCAAGTGGGGGTGGGGGTGGGGGTAGGGGGGGGTCGAAGGAGGCCTCTGAGCCTGCGCAGGCTCCACCTGGTCAGCACTTCGTGGACCTGGGGAGCTGGGAAAGCTGCGCTGTGGCAGCCCAAGCCAGAGGCGGAGGCTGCTTTAGGTCTCAGGCTGTGGAGGAGGAAGACAGGGCCGCGGAAGACTGAGCCCGCACACAGTGGCCACGTGCTTTGGGAGCAGCACACAGACCTGTAACACGCGGACCTGCCAGCTCAGGAGCCTTCCCCGGTGGCCCGGAGTGGGATGAGTGGTGACGAAAGTGCGCCCACTCATTGAACACTGTGCAGAGAGGGAGAGGGCGACACTGCGGCCTCTGCCATGCCACAGCCAGAGAGGGTTGGGAGTGACGGGGTGGGCGACTGCTCCCAGGACCCTGCTCCTGCACTGCAATCGAGGTGGGCCTGCACAGGGCCCAGGGATAAGTGGAAACCCGAGCCGGGACTGCCCGGGCTCTGTACCAGAGCTCAGGGAACCATGCCCGGGGCAAGGCAGCATGGTGTCCCGGAGTCCGGGACTAGAGGCCCTGGAGAGGCTCACCGAAGTCGGCTCTTGCAATGTCATGGCGTGCCAAGTTCAGGCTTGCAGAGGGCGGCCATCCAGGGGGCTGTGCGCCTGGGGGCGGGGAGCATTCACCGCCACTCACAGGGGACGGGCCAAAGGAGCCCTTCTGGCTCAGGGGACCTGAGGAGACAACACACGCGCTGGTTACCAGTTCTCTGCAGTGGCTAAGTTCCCCGAGTCCCACTCAGAAGGACAGAGTGCCCACCTCTGTGGGGCGCGTTCTGCACTCCAGGACAGTCTGGCATCCGATTGATGATCCCAGGCTCCTCTTTAAGCATATCCAGCTTCTGGGTAATTTCCACCAGCCTGCACACAGACACAGTAGGACTGGGGGTGACCATAGCCACCCTGAGTGGGCTGAAACGTGGGCGCCACGCATCGCATCGCGCCACGCGCTGCTAACCTCTGCCGCAGGTTGGCGGCCTGCCGCTTCTCATCTGCCACCAGGCGCTCTGCGTTTCGGGCTTTGAGCTGTGGAGACAGAGAGGCCAGCTCAGCACAGTGGCTGAGTGAAGCTGGAGAGGGCGAGGCGAGACGAGGCGAGGAGGAGGCTCTTACCCAGTTCTCATGGGCTTTTTTCTTCTCAGTAGCAAGCTGCAAGAGAACAGGGCAAGACCCAGGTTGAGGGAACAGTCACCGGGGCTGCAGCCCTCCATGACTCCTGTGTGGGGGATTAACGGGTGCTGTCACCACAGCGCACTCTATTCCTTGCCTGGTTTTTAAATGAGCGCTCCGTTTTCTCTAATTCTGCTTCCACTTCATGGATTCGCCGCCTAAAAATAATACTTAGCAGTTAGAATCAAATAAATTCTGCAACAATCTGACCATGTCTGACCTTTAAAGACTTCATCATACAGAAACATTTCATAACATGATGAGTGCAGTGTGAACCTCAGTTTCCTGATTTTTCATTTAATGCCTAGAGATTATGAGTTGACAACTTGTCAATTTCCTTAACTGTCCTTGAATAACATTCTCAAAATAATCTGGCTAAGGCTACCTTCCCCATAAAGGTTTTCCCCTCAGGGGATGGGGATTTAGCTCAGCGGCATAAGCACCTGCCTTGCAAAGCGGGCGGTCGTAAGTTTGATCCCCGGTACTGATTAAAAAAAAAAAGGTTTTCCCCTCAAATTATAGCCACAAGAAATGACTCAAAATGCTGCCCCCGGTCTGTCGGAGCACTGAGACTCTGGTGGGTGTGGACGTGTGACAGAAGCAGGCCGATTTCCTAAAAATGGGCACAGGACACATCTGCAAAGGAGCTTCCTGTTAACAAGCTTCTGTCTGTTAATGTAGAACCCCTCCCCGTGTGAGTTAAATACATTCCATTCTTGGACTGCTCATGTGCTTCTGTGCCCATCTCTTCTATGTAACAAAGCAACTCAGCCCAGTTCCTCTGTCTCGGACGCCACACTCACTTGTAGATTTTCACCTCCTCTGTGGCCGGCACCACCTTCTCATCCACAGCCAACAGCGCCTGCTCTCGCTGCTGCTGTGCACATTCCGCCTGACTCAGTATCCTAGGAGAAAGGCAGCTGCCAGGGCTGAACTCGGCCCACAGGCCACTTCCCCACCCAGCAGCAGGCACAGGGTTTCAGGAGGGCAGTCAAGCTCCAGGCTCTGGGCCATTTGCTTGTGTTCTTATATTCTCTCACCTCTCCTTGTAATTGTCTAATCAGCAAACAGAACAAGTTAAGAGCACAGCATGCACCAGGCTCTAGCTGCCTGTGTGGGAGATGAGTGTTCCCCGAGGGAAGCCAGGATTGTCCAGCAGAGCTGCTGGGAAAGCAATAGGCGGAGTCCACCTCCCCCCCTCCCCACATACTGTCTGGGAAGAGCTGTTTCTCTAGACCTAGGCCATGATAAGCACACAAGATAGGCCAAATGGGTGGATGGGAGACTTGGCCCCAGCCAGAAAGCGAAATGTGGGCCCCAGAGGCCAGTGCTGCCCTCCTTCAACCCACACATGGAGGACAATGCCAAAGATGCTGAACTGAGCCCTCGACAAATCCCTAGGCTTTAAGAAATAAGCAGTGGAGCTGAGGCTACAGAGGCAGGGACACTGGGCCCAACTGCTAGCTGGATGATGGTGACGGCGGACAGGCAGGAGCAGCCTCAGGTCGCCATCACAGGAAACCAGCAGCACCCTGGGCCCCAAGTTTCCTCTATGATCACTGCACATCCAAGCTGCTAGGCAATCAGAAGTGACAGGAATGGCCAGCATGAGACACTGGACAAAATCTCTGGGACTCACTTCTGCAGCTCCAGCTCCTTCTGGTGGGACAGCTCCTTCAGGATCTCCACCTTCTGCTGCAGCATGCTAAACTCCTCCTCCATCCGGGCCTTGTCTGCCTGCAGCCTGCCGCAGTCCTCACCTAGCTTCACGATCTGGTCTGGGAGGTGAGACACATCACCAAGGGCACCGCCAAAGACACAGAACCAGGCTCCCAGCATCCCTGCCTCATTCATGCCGGCACTCAGCCTGACCACCATGTGGTCAGGGACCTACCTTCCAGATCACATTTGGCAGACAGGGAGGCTCTCAGCTTCAACTGCAGGAGTTGGAGATCTTTCTGAAATACGGATATTGTGGAATGTGTCTGAAAATTGTGAGGGAGGGGCACAGGCTTGAAAGTAAGGCTCAGTCAGGACTCATGGGCCCCTGGGGGGACTCTGTGAAGGGACTCACCTGGGAGACATCCATCAGCCGGTGCATGTGAGCCTTGATCTTACTCTCCCCACCTACAAAGAGAACAAGTGTGGCTGTGTCTTCCTGTGCCGTTTCTAACACTGTTGTCTTGACTTCCACAAAACTAAACTAATGCTCATGACACACTGTAAAGAAAAACAATTCACCAACAGAACTGACACACTGACTTTCATGACAACTGCACCCTTAGATTTTGTAAGCTCCTGCCAAGACAGCATGCCACCTGGCCTGTGGCTGAGCAAGCCTAGCTCTGCCACATGATGGTCTAGGGGGAGCTGGCCGGCGTGGGTCCAGACTCGCACTCTGAGCACCCTCTGCAGCTGGGCGGCACCCTGACCACTTTCCTCATCTCAGACCCTGCTGCTCTCCAGCCTCTGCCCTCACAGCCTGGGCTGTGGCTCCCCATCCCCACACTCTAGGTGACCCTGGCCAAGTGCCTGAGAACCACAGAACAGCAGAGGCCGTGAGTACGGACCCGTGTGTCATCTCCAGAAAGCTGAGTGAGTGTCTTCTCTGGCACAGAGGCTGACACAAAGACAAAGGCTCCAGCGTACACATCCAGTTCTCAGGGGTGGAAAAGCAGCTTTCCCCGCTTGCCTGATGCTACTGGCATCCCAGTGACCCAGACTTAAGTACGAATTATTCAGATGTTGGGAGCCATTGAAGCTGGAAACCGACCACACATGCAGGGCCAGGGCATGGCTGGCCCAAGAACAAAGAGTCCCTGGGGTTGCCATGTGAAGAAGCTGCCTCAGCCCAGAGATCACCAAGCCCCAAGACAATCTGAACAGTGGGCTGCTAGGACAACAGTGTGTCACATGACATTAAGTTGCTAAAACTTATAAACGCCCCTGCAGTGAGGGGCCAGTTCCTTTCTTCCCATGAGGAGGGTAAGGGCTCCACCTGACCCCAGATTTGTCTATTTTCTCATCCTCTTGTGGTCCTTCACACTAAGAACCTAAAGAGCTGCATGGGTCAGTTGGGGCAAGAAGAAACTCAGCTGAGAAGCAGTATCCATGTATGGAATTAAAGACAAAAATGCTTAGGAGACTGAGGTAGAAATTTTGCTGTGGGTTTGAGGCCGGTATGGGCTACACAGTGAGTTCAAGGCCAGCCACTACATAGAGACCTTGTCTAAAATAACAATAAAGAGAAGAAGACAAAAAAGGGCCCTTGAAGGGCTGGGGATTTAGCTCAGTGGCACAAGCACCTGCCTGGTGAGTGCATGGTCATGAGTTAGATCCCTGGTTAAAAAAAAAAGGCCCTTGGGCTAGGGCCGGTCTTACCTCCCACTTCTCCTTTGGCTAATTCACCTGGCTCACATCTGCCTGGACCTGGACCCTCAGATTCCGATCTCCTCTCCTCCATCCAGTTCAGCCGCATGATGCAGTTGTTCAGAGCCTAGCAGAGAAGCGAGCAGCAGTTAAGAGCCTCTCCATCCTCACAGTGGGTTTGTTTTCCAAGTGTTCATGATCAGGCTGGGCCGGCTGGGGTAACTTACACCAATGCTATCATCCTTATCATGGAGAGTGGCTTCCAGATCCCTCTGAGACTTTTCCAACGTCCTGACTCGCTGGCTGAGTTCAGCGTTCAGCTTCTTCTGGTCTTCAACTTCCTGCTCTAGCTGAAAGTCACATGGAAGGGTCCCTGCGGACTGGGGATTCCACAGAGGCACAGGACCATGCAAGTGGGATGGGGAAGCAGGAGTCATGTCCCTCCTTGTCCCATCGCAGAGGCTAAGACTTGGTTCAGGCCTGCAGAGTGTGACTTCTACCCTGAGCTGTCAACGAAGCTGACCCCAGCCATCAAGTCCTTCTGAAAAATGCCTGCTGACTCAAATGCCTGACTTCCAGGTGGCACCCGTGGGCATGTATTGCTGGGGCTTAACATATTCCCACTGGCATGAACTGCTGCAGGGCATGCAGGACTGTCCTTACCACCTAATGGGACTATCCTGTGTATCCCCCTAGCAGGAACATAACCCATTCAAATGGGAACTGCTGGCAGCTAGCTGTGGGATTTCTGGCCTCAGTGTGTGTGTGTGTTGATCACAGATCCCTGATCTAACCTTCCTATGGCCAATGTGAGGCAGTAACTATTAGAGGAGGCTTAGCAAAGCCTTAAATCTGAGGTTTAAAAAGCCAACCCCTGGCCTTGCTGAGGCCAAAGTAATGACTAGTATCTAACAAGACAAGGGCCAAGAACTGCCATCAATTTACAGAATTGAAAATCCACGAGAAACACAAAAGGAGCCTGTGCCCTCAGTAATGTGCAAGCTGGGGAGGACAGACTCGATGCTCCCCAGCTTGCTGCAGGGGCCTGCATAAGCAGCTCCTCATGAGAGAAGATGACAGAAGTAAAGTCGATGGGTTTTGCACCCATTCTGACCAAACATTTACAAAATCTGCACTTTCTTCTCTTCTTCAGCCTTGTGTTTTCTTCCTGAACCTGGTGGCACTCAGACTTCACCTTCTCCTCACTCAACTTGCCTTCATTCAGGGTGACCTGAACCTAAAGCACAACCCGACTGTTCATGAGCCACGCCAGGGAGGGGCCCCCAGCCCTGCCCCTCAATCATGCACCGCCTCTGCCTTCCACGGCTCTCAGCACTCATCAGGTCACCACTGCTCCATGCAGCTGAGTCTCGACACTGACACCGGCAGGGAGTGTGGGCAGCCTTACCTTGGAAAATTCTGAGGCATTCATTGAAATAACCTCCTTTAGCTTCTCCACAGATTTCTCATTTTCCAGGACCTGCCACGGAAGCAAGGAACACACAGAACGCATTAGGACTGTGGGAGAAACACTGATACATATGCTAAAGAACAAAAACGTTACTACAAGGTACCCCAAACTATCCACTATGTTTTAGGTAAAATCGGGATTAAACATGGTCTGGGGAAAAAATCTGCTTAAAGAGCTGAGAGAAAAAACTGAAGTCAAGAGTTTCATGGCACCCTCAAGTTTTGGGGTAACCACATGACATAGTATAAAGAAATGTTCAAGCAAACCACGGAAAATGAACAGCTTTTTCTGGTGTCAGGAAAACAAGCCCCAAAAGGTCTGGAGATTTAGCTCAGCAGCATTAAATGCCTGCCCGCCAAGCACTGGGTCATGAGTTCGATCCCTGGCACCAAAAAAAAAAAAAAAAAAAAAAAAAAAAAAAGCTCCAAGATCACTTTAAACATGTTCTTGTCTGAATTAAAAATGGTAAGAATGCTGGGTATGGTGGAGGACGCCTGTAATCCCAGCACTCAGGAAGCTGAGGCAGGAGAGTTTAAGGCCAGCCTAGGCTACAAGGTGAGTTCACAGCCAGCCTGAACTGCATAACAGAACCCAGTCTCAAAAAGACAAAACCAAAATAAAACAATAGAAAAAAAAGTGTTTCTGGGGGAATAGAAAAATCTCATGTGCCAAATTTCTCAATATTTATGACAATACTGGCTCAAGGGGTGACCTTAACCCACCGTTCTTTTAACTGCAGGTTGTATGTCATAACTTCCTGCCAAACAGCATGGTGCACAAAGGACTGAAAATGGGCAATTCACCAGGTATGTGCTGAGCAAAGGACCAGGCCACACAGGAGGCGGGAAGCATGAGAACTCTCCTCACTACATTTCCGCTTAGGGGATTTGCAGACTATTCGAAAGGCACAGAGTTCACTGTGAAATAAAACCAGTTTACACAGACTACTCAGCTGGACCAATTTTTTAGTGACTGTGTGTTCTGGAGGACACAACTATGAAATTATCCAAGATTCAGGATCAAAACACTTCCCGTGCCTATAAAAACATTCTACTGAACTAGTACTAAAAATCCCACAAAATGGGTACAGGCATGTTCAGTTCTGTTATTCCTAGTCTTATGAAGTTAATAGCATGGAAACAGCTCAACTGATTTACGAAATAGCTAAAAATACACCTTTAGTAACACGCAGCGGCAGAACTCACCAAATCCTGATTTTTCATGTTGCGTTTCCGCTCACATTCTAACATATCACCAAGAGTTCTGGCCATATCATCCAGAAATTCCTTGCTTTCTTCAAGCACCTTGATTTTATCCAGAAGAAAAGAGATTAAAAGTAACAGTACGCATTAATGCTTGCTTTTGTTTTTAGACTATAATCCCCAAAAGAGAAGGACTTTTACCTTGTATTTAATTGCTTCCTCAGAGAGAATCCTATTCTGATTCTTGGTCTCCTGAAGAAGCCTCTGCGATTCATTGATCTATGTAAAAAACACATTCAGAACTAAGTAACAGAAGTCACTGTGCTAGTAAAACCTTGTTCCAAAGAAGCAAGCAGAGCGTTCCCTTTACACATGATGGTGCGTAAGATCTGGAGGGCTCAGAGGAAATGATGAAGCGAGAACACAGGCCTTCAAAATACCGTAATAACTGAGCTACACCACAGACGCGCTAGAGGAGGGCCCGTGAGAGGTTCTACCTTCTGTTCATAACTTGACAATTTTTCTGCAAGTTGTGCATTGTCCTTTGTGGTAGTCTTCACCTTTTCGGCAATCTGCTGTTCGGTGACTAAAAAGAGGAAATAGCCAGGTTATTAGGAGCATTAAATGGAACTGAGCTGCACAGTGTCTCAGCAGCAAGGACACCTGTGAGGCTCTGTGAGAGACAGGGCTTAGCACAGCTACCTGCCTGTCCAGAGAGACCCGAAGCTAACAGCAGCAGTGCACAGGACACTGTTAAACTTTAAGAAAACTATAGTAACACTTGTTTTGAGGAGATATCAATTACTGCAAAGGCAGGAGATACAGTAAAATGTCACACAGTTGGAGAGGCTCCTTTCACAAAAGGCACTTGTTCTCTGATAACGGATCACTTCAAATGAATGTCATTTGCTACGAGAAAAAGAAACTTTAGGCTACAGATCTACACTGCTGTCTCGAGCTCCTGTGCCGATAAACCTATAGGGGCCGAGGTGTCCCTAGCACAGACACACTGTCCTCTCTCCACGCCTGTGTGGCCCAGCCACGCTCTGTCTGCTCCAAGTAAGCAGTCACCCCTGCACCACATCTCCTAGCTCAGCCAGTACCACCACCCTACCCATTATACCATGGTTAGTAGCAACAGTAAAATGTGGAGCAGTTAGTGAGTCAAATCAGACACCAAAGTCACTGTCGCTCCTAGCCTGCCTAAAAGCCCTCCCAAACACCAACAGGAAGAGATTTACCTTGGTATATTCTCTCCTTTACCTAGAAGAGAAAGAGAGAAATTTGATGTCAAACATTTGATTAAAAGGAATACATAGTTCCTAACACAAGTCAGGATCATAACCAAGTGAAAATTTAGTAACTTTAGTTCAGAATAAACCCATACAATTAAAAATGTATTATAAATAGCCTCTGATACAGAGGAACAGTAAGGAGCGTGTCTTACTTCACAGCTACACACGGGCTTGTGTGCCAGGACCAAGTGAACACCAGGCTTCTGAGATGAGCATTTGGCTTCAACAGTGAAATGCTTGTTTTTATAATACACACATTATTGATTTACTTACTCCAAATTACTTGACAATCCCAAAAGCAAGCATGCAGTCTAGAAATGGGTGACCATATGGAGGACTGGCGAGCGAGATTACCAGCATGACCTTTGCACTAAGATACGCCTCTCTCACTCACTGGAAGATACCTCAGAAACCCTATTTCAAGTGATCTATTGACTCAATTAAGAAATAATCTAATACACCTCATCATCTGATTTCCCCAGACCACAAAAACAGTAATAAATCTAAGCGGAAGGGAAGACACCAGAAGAACACAGAGAAATGACAGCTAACGGCTTCCAGGAAGAGCACAGACCCAGTTCTTACTCCCAGTGCCTTCTGGGGTCATAAATCCTAAACTGTAACTAATTAAATACCACAGCAGCTGTCTTCTCCTTCCGAGTGCTATAAACAGTATAGGACAGCAGAGCGCAGTAGCCAGCTGAGGGGCGTCTGGCTGGGGGAGGGCGACTGTGCTCTCCAGGATCAGGAGTGGAGCCTCAGAGCCATGTGACCTCAGGGAGTGGGAGGAAGTGAGCCCAGGGGCAGGGTGTGAAGCTGCAGGGCTGAGCCTGAGAGCCCTGCTGGGTAGCAGCTGCAGGGGAACCAAAGGAGAGGAGCAGGGGAAACAGCACCTTTTCACCCCCAAACACTCTGCGTACCCTTCCAGGCGTGCTTTCATCCAAGAAGCTGTTCGGTGAGATTCCAGAAGTCCTCACAGGAATCTTTCATAGGGTGCTGTTTTGGGGTTGTTTTTTGGTGGTACCTGGGACAGGGCTTTCACAATGAACTACATTCTCAGCCTTCCCATTATTCTTGAGACAGGCTCTTGGTAAGTGACCAAGTTGCCCAGGCTGGGCTCAAACTTGCACTTCTCCTGTCTCAGCCTCCCTCTCCTCCAGGGCCACAGGAATGCACACACCACTCTGCCTGATCTTGCCTGGAGGTTTCTACCATCTTACTGTATTTCTTGCCCTGTATGTTTCTACAGCACAGTTCATCAGTACCTCACGGTCTGTTTCCCCTTTTCCCACTTCACATTAAATCGTGAACACCTTCTTTGTCCCCTGCCTTTGAAATACATACAGCAGTGTAATATTCTGTTCTGTGGATATAAATAAGATGAAACATGATATTCCCTAATATAGATCATTTAGGTTTCACCAAGTTATTAGTCTATTAAATACTACATCTAATACCTTTGTATAAAATCTTAACATGTAATTTATTTCTTTAAGATCATTTACTGACGTTATCATACCATATAAAAGCAATTTATATTTCTTATCCTGTTTTGTATCCCATTTTAAAGGCTTATGATATATAGAATTATTAAACTGCTTTTCAGGATGGCTGTACGAGTCACCAACTCTACTAATAAGTGGATATGGTTAGCTTGCTCTTAAGTCTTTGCCAGTACCAAGATTAAATTATTTCAGAAAACTAACTTGAATTATAACCACTGATTTGTTTATGTTAATAACTGAAAGGGCCAATGATAATAGAATCCTCAATATATTCAGAAGTCAAAGAGCAAGTTAATTCACTCACTGGAAAAACATTCCTCCACAAGAAAATCGCAATCATAAGGATTCCAACACAGGTAGTGAACAATACAGGCTCCCAGGGGAGCCCATAAAAGTCTCCAGGCCCGGGCTGGAAATTCTCAGGTAACACTGCAACCAGCTGAAAAGGAAGGGCACAAATAACGGAAACGTTAACAGAACTGGCGGAGCAATCACAAAGGATCATCACAGATACTCTCAATCTACTCTCCATAGTCTAAACCAACTTCCAGGTGCCCTGAAGAAACTTCCGGAAAGGGGATACAGGCAGGCTCGCGTTGTTGTCCCGTATGTGGAGTCTCTAAACTTAGGGAGTGAGTTGAACCTACTTCCCAGTTGGCCAACAGCCCTTCTTCATCGCAGTGTCTGAGCGGTTTTCTATTACTGCACACGCAGGCACATACACACACTCACACACACACACACACACACACACACACACACCCCACATTGTAAATACATGATAGGTTTGTGCGTCTGCAAACAAAGGCACTATGACAATGATCGCCACAAGTCAGGCATCACTCCTCCAGGAGGCTGCATGTCAATTTGCTGCACCCTCATGAAACAATCCGTGCGAGGAAACAGGTGGGGCGTGAACGTGGCTCCCAAGGCGATGGCTGGCTTCAGACCATGCCGCTCCCTCAGCCCGGCCCTCTGCAGCCCACACCACGCTCCTGCCGGCTCCTGCCCGTCGGGTACGGCTCTTCCGAAGGGACCGTCCCACCAGCGGGCGACCAGCGCCCCTTGCCCAACCCTGGTTCCCCCGCCTCACCTTCAGTAGCAGGGTTACAAAGGCCGAATACAGCTTCGACAGGCGCCTCAGCAGCTCGGGGGTACCCGGGGACGCGAAGACCCCGGCTACAGTGGCTGATACCGTGTCCATAGCGAAGGACCGCTCGCTGCGGACCCGGCCGGACCGGGCAGGACCGGGCAGGACCTGGCCCGATCGGGCCGGACCCGGCAGTGGCAAAGAAGTCTTTCCCAGTGGCAGCGGCAGCAGAGGGCGGAACTGCACAGCTACACCTTCGGCTTTGTGCTGCGCTGTGAACCCTAAACTTAGGTAACAGAGGGTCTCCAGGACGACCACAAAGGGGCAGGGCTTCACAGAGGGGGCGGGGCGAAAGCTGGACACCGCGCGGGGGCGGGGCGGGAGCGTCCAATGAACGAGGCCAGTGGGCGGAGCGTCCAGTGAGCGCAGCCGGGTGCGGGGTCCCGGGGTCCCCTGGCCATAGAGCAAGGCTGGCCAGTAGCCGCGCTAGGGCACCGAGCTCAGGCGCCTTCACCGCTGGACCTGGGCACTAGGCCTGGCACGCCGCTACGTGGCTGCTGGCCTGGTTGGCACCTTCGCCTGGGTGGGGCGGGGCCACGTGTCAAAGTTCAGGGTGCAGACCCCTGGCGCTGCGGCTCACCTCAGAGCCAGGGCCCAGTCGCAGGTGGCTGGCATTGTAGGTGATGGAGCCTCCCCTAGTTATTCACAGTGTGGATTGAAAGGATCAGCAACTGATGGCAGAAACAAACCACTATATCAAAAAAGCGTTGGGTGATTTTTTTTCCATGTACTCAACAGGTCTTTCCTGATTATGTCTCAAAAATCAAGAAGCAAAAAGGGAAAAGACTGTAAATCTGATTACTTAACACAAAACAGAAAATGTGGAAAGGAAAGTTTGTAAATGGATAAGGGGAGGAACCTTGAAGGGAGGGTAGGGGAATGGGAAAGTAAACAGTACCATGTAGAGGTACAAATCCTCTATGATGATCATTGGGTATGTCCCAAATGTACCAATAAAATCTAACTGAAGTGAAAACACACAACGCTTGTTCAGCCCCTGCCTACAGAAACAAAACACACGGAGAATAAGCTAGTGAGGCTCAGAAAAGATGTGTAAGTAGCTGTGCCACGGGAACACGGCTGCATGGCTCCTAACTGCACAAAAGCTTGCTGAGGTGGCTGGCCAGAGCCCTGAACTGAACAGCACTGGGGAGAGATGGGGTGCGGCACTCTCCCAAGGTGCCTCGCTGTATGGAATGACAAGGGCCCTAAATGACCGCTGCCAACCATTTAAAGAGATTATGTCAAATTAAATTTGAAAGGGTTTTGGCCCAGACGGGACTCTAGCCAGAAAAGCCTCAATAGGGACCAGGAAGCTCCTATCTCCCCCACCCCTAGGAATTTACCGTGATGTCATCTTCCCCGCCCCTGGGAATTTACCTATGGCGCCAAACCTAGGACCAGGGATTTGGCTCAGCGGCTCAAGCACTTGCCTGGCAAGTACAAGGTCATGAGTTCAATTCCCGGTACCAAAAACAAAAAAATGAACACTAGTGGTCCTGCCTACCCCCGACAACCATGAAAGCATTTTATAGGCACTACTGTAGACCCCCTCCACAAGCCCATACAGGTCACTCCTGAGTCTCCATCACCCTATTCTCCCTTTGTGGATCAAGTCCTGATGCTCAGGTTCCTTTAAAATCACCCCAGGAGTCCAAAGGTCATATGACCAAGGTCATTAAGACTGGATCCTGGGATTCTCCACTGGCTTTGATATTTGGAAAGCCTCAACCCACTGAGGACTCCACGCTGAACTCATAAATGACAGAGAAAAAAAAAACACAAGACTTTCCACCAGACAGCCTGGCCTTCCACAGTGGCCTGTGCCAGAGTCAGGTGCTGGGTGTTATTTTGTGAGAGTGGTATCTAAGCCAACACTTGACACGGGGCAGGTAGGTACTCAACAATAATCTCCACATGAATCATCTACTCCATCCTGTCCTCAAACAACAAGATGTGTTTAAAGTAGCGGTTCCCCCCCCACTGGCAAATAATAAATTTAAAAGCATGAAAAAGAGAAAGTCACTTAGCTCAACCCATCTAGAAACAAGGAGGTTTGGTATTATTAGGACGCTTCCTTCCAGTTATTTTCTAGGCATGTTTTTTAAACCTTTGGAATTAGATGGTAGGCACACTGTAACTTTTACCAGAAACATCCTCCCTGGTTATCTTTTAAATTGCTCCTAAATATTATTTTGCATAACTTCATAAACCTCCATTTTAAAGACACATCCACTGGAATTCACCTATCCACTATCTCCAGCCCACACCAGTGGAAATATAGGTTGCTACTACTAGAGTTTTTAAACAATCTGAATGATGGGTGCATAAAAATATCATTTATATTTCATGTTTTGTCTCAGCTACATCCCCAGAAGAATAATTATCTTATTAGACTATTTGGCCATCTTGAGATTTTGGCCCAAATCTGTAAAACTAAACCACGCTTTATATTTATTCTTTACAGAAATGAGGGAAGGGGCTGTGAGCTACAACCCTAGTTAGCCCCATTTGTTTATTTATTTAGAGAAAGACGCTCACAGTTACCCAAGCAGGGCCGGATCTTGCAATCCTCCTGCCTCAGTCTCCCAATTAGCTGGAATCACACACGTGCACCGCCACACCGGCTGTTTTTCTTCTTTTTTTTTTTTTTTTGTTTTTTTTTTTTTATTTAAGAGGAAAAAGAGAAAAACACAAAACAAACCAAAGCGGCGTAAGGGTACACGCAATACAGAACTACAAAACAAAACAAAACAAAACAAAACAAAAAACCATAACAGTAAGAAATTACCTGCTAGTAGATTACACACTATTTTCTTGAAAATAGTTCCTCAAATCACAGTATCAAAGAACACAAGGTGGACATTCAAACAGGGAGACTGCAAACAGCTGTGTTCAATGTTCCAAAAACATTGATAAAGTCAGCTATTTAACACCCCCAAACACACTTGCTGTTATATCCGTTAGAGCTCTTTTTCTTTTTTTTTTTTCCCCTTTTTTACAACAAAATTTACACATCTTGGAAGGTGGTGAAGTACTAGGTTATTGAAACAGTCATGCTGTGACCTCTATTGTTATATTGTTATGTCCTGTTTTATCTCAATCTCCCCCTTATTGTTTCAAAAAAAAATTATTTAGTCATTTCTTATGTTTGTCTTAATTAAAGAAAAAATTCAAAAAAATTAGGATATATAAATAGTAACTCTTTTCGATTTCCTATTAACTTGTTTTGAAGTCCTGTAGTACTCCCACGATCTTGTTTTGACTGATTAGACTCTGTTCCATTCTATATGATAGTATCAAGTTTGAAGACATAGGCAACTACTTTGAAGACAATAAGATTCACTAAGATACCCATTCTGGTTTGACTATTGTCTTCTTTGGAAGTCCTGTAATGTTTACAATGCCTAAGTTTTATTGGTCTTGTTCTCTACTGTTTTGTCCAACTTTATAATATCTAATAAGATAGACAATTCTTCTTAAGGAAACAAGGGACAACGTTGATAACCATTGTTGATAAACTTGTACTCTGTTCTACACCATGTGCTATGTCTATCCTTGGTATTGACTGACAGCTTTGTTTTGCCATATTTGACTGTATTCTTCCCCCCCCCCAAAGAAAGTAATAAGCTCTTTTTCTTCTTAATTTGAGGTCTTCATCCTAGATGACTCTGATTTATCTACAGACTAAGCAGTCCTTCCCAGCTCTGGGCCTCCAAATCAGACAAACACATCTTCCTTATACTCAACCCAACCCAAGCCAAAATCAGAGCCCTGTGGTGCTCACTTTCTGACCTCCTCCCAGGCTGACTCTGCACCAGTAACTAACAGCGTTTGCATAGGATCCCTAAATTAAACCAATACCACCACCCAGCCCCTACTATTAAATCATACTACTTATGATTTAATACAGACAAGTGTATCTTAAGAAACTGTGAACTACTTTACTAAAGCTGCTGCATCATTCCCTTCTGGTTTAGTAAGCAAAACATCACATAAAACAGGAAATAGATTCAACTTGATGTAATTCAGCTGACTTCTAGGTACCCTTGCATCCTATGGCCATATGCTTTTAAGAAAATTCCTAACTTGTATCTGTGTGTTAAAAAAAAAAAAAAGCAATACTTTTAGGTAAATTTTGTCCTACCTGTAAAAAGCAGGGAAACGATTGGTCAGGCCCTATCACCTGCAGCTCACCTGGGAGGAGCTCTGAATGGTGGGTAGTTAAGACTCCGGGAAAAGCCAGAGTGTCCTCAGCCATAAAGACTTCCCACACCAGCTGCCCCAAACACACCTACTCTTCTGTAGCCATATGCATTAATACCTGGGCTTGAGCCAGCTACTCTGCAGCCACTATGAACCTCTCCAGACTATGCACCCTTCCCCGCTGGGGCTCCCGCTTCTCCTTGGTCTTCTTTCATGGGCCCACAGAACCAAAGCATCTCAGAATCTAATGTCACAAGGCAACTGACAGCTGTGACTCACAACTCACCAACTCATAACCCCAACATCCCTTTCAGAGCGACATGCCAGGAGCCACAATCTATTCACGCCAGCCAGAAGTAGAGGCAGGAGAGAACTTCAGATCCCTAGAAGTCTGCCTCGATTTCTAGATGACAAGGCAAAGCCCTCTCTAGTAAATCCCATGCTGTTCATCATGAAAATATTTCCAAGGCCCAGCCAGCAGCTCCCCAGCAAGAGCTGCTCACTGGCCTAAAGCAAAGCATGGTGCTGGAATCCTCGGATTCCACAGTCTCTGGCTCCTGCCAGAATCCTTGGGGCAGGGAGGGGGGCACCCATGGCCTGTGACAGCAGCACACATTCTCCAGCATGGCATCCAAGACTTGAAAACTGAGGTCACAAAGCCAAATGCCGATGGGACACAGCGAGAAATGCCAAGCAACTGGACCCAGGCAGGCAAGAGAGGACGCTGGGATCATGATGCTTGGGAGCAGCAGGCCTGACCCTTTCCATAGGCAATGGCCACCCCTCTGCTGGAAATGACAGTCAGATCTGACTCTTTTCAAAAAGCCCACAGGTTTTCTTGTTTATTCCTAATGTTTACAAGCCTTTATGCTATCCAAACTGTAACAGCATATAGGCTTGAAAATGTCTACAAATCCCTCCTTAATACAGACATATATACTTCCTACCTCTCCAATCTAATTTGCCCCTGCTCTATCACAAGAGTCCCATGTTCTTCACACCCACACGCACATGCTATGTCACTCCTAACTCCTCTAA